GTGCTGCTGCTGTGGTCCGGCTACTCTCTGCAGCCAGACCACAGCAGCCAGGGCCGCCACACCGCCGCCTTCATGGCCGCTGAGGTGAGACTCTCTCTGTCTGCAGCCTGTGGGGCGTTATCTTTACGGAGAATGTGATAGGAATCATGGTGGCAGTGACATTTTCATTTAATAAACACCTGAAGGTCTCATTTCCTGCAATATAGAGCCTTCAGTCATGATCAATAAAGCTGCTCTTTCACTATTTCACTAAGCTCAGTTCGATTTAGGCCCCAGAAATACCCCAGAATTGAAGCGTTTATGTTGATCTATGTTCCCTCTTCAAAGCCACCAGACTCCATTAACAAAAACAGTCATTTTAGCTCGCAGGAGACACAAGTGCTGACCGCCGTCTACTGGACATACCTCATACAACCCCACTTATAAACACTCAAACTGTCCCTTTAGGACGTTAAAAGTATGAGGATCAGTCAGGAGAAGTGTTATTTTGTTTTTCTTATTTTGAATCAGGACGTCCTGTTTAAGTTTAATCTCCCGCTGGGATTTCTTTTTCTTCTTCTCATTTATAATCAAAACTTCTGTAAAGTGTCATCAGTTGTTTCCTTATTTTGATTTAAATCTTTACATTCTGCAAATAGTCGTATTTACGTTGTGGTTGTATAATCTGCTCTCCTGATGTCTCTGAATAAAGTTTCCTGTGAGCTGACCTGCTGTCTGTGTTTCAGTGTTGGTGACCGTGAGGACGACACACGTCATGTTTCGGTAAGTGCGGTCAAAGTTTTCACACTTCCTGTTTAGGGCTGATATTAGATCTGTTGTTCTATTGTTTATTTAACTGCGTCTCAAATCATAATATTCACTCAGTACTGAGACAATAATATTTTTGGTGCATGCTTAATTAAAATATTTGCATTAAAAATAATCAAATATGGGGACGTGAACCAGGAGGGCAGCTGGGACAACAACGTGCTGCTGCTGGGTCTCGACCTGCTGCACCACATCCACATGCTGGTCCCAGTTTATTTCTCTTTAAATGGTTGTTAGTCTTTATTTTATGTCAGTGAGTTTATTTTGGTCTGTTAGTTAGTTTTCTATTACTTTTATCTCACAATTTTAACTTTTTATCTTGTTTTAACGAGCTTACTGGCGATTGATTATTAGCTACCTAGCTAGCAAGCTTTAGTGACATATATTGTCACACGTTATCATCATAATTAAACCATAACAGCTTGTAGGGATGAGCGAGTACACCGTCATCTGTATGTCTTCAACTAACTAAATTATCATATCTGTACTCAGAACTTAATCTTTGTACCATATAGTCACATCTTAAGTTAGCTAGTGACCAGCGAGCTAACCTACAGTTCATTATGGTTAGTTGACAGTTTAACATTAAGATAATATAAAAAGATAAAAGCTACAAGTATATTTAAAGTATCTCATGTAGATTCATCAACATTTCAAAATAGCTTCATAAAAAGTTGAGCAGCAAAGTCAGACAGTTGTTAAATATCCTATTCAATGTAATATATATATTTTTAAATTATTCTATAAAATAAAATGTGATCACAGATTTTGGAGCGACCCAACCGATCACAGTTTCAATCAGGTCCTCATCAGCATTAATTCTCACTGCACAGACTCTGTTTCATGCAACACTTCAAATCAAGGAAGAAAAGTACAAACTCAGCCTGTTTAATGAGACTTTAACTGCCTGTGAAATTACAACACGAACTGACACTGAGAGTCTTCTGGAAGGTCGGAGAACGTTTCCAGAAAATCAGTCTTCAGATTTAAGTGTTAATGTGAATATGTAAATAAATCAAATCAGTTTCATTGATACAGTTTGTAAATGTCCTTCTCCTGGTCTCTCTCAGGTCTTCTGAACATCTGGTTGTCCAAGTCTCGTGATCTTCATGCAGCTTCGTTTCCTCGTTCAGGAGGTTCAGAAGAGAATCCGCCGCCACCACAACTACCTGCAAGTCCTCCGCAACATGGAGACCGGGTCGGTTTTCACTCTGCACAGATACAGTACATGGACCTTTCTCACAGCAGACATTTTCACATTAAATAGTAGGGTAAACACAGGTGGTACCAATCATATTGATTGAGGGTCTGTTCCTCTCAGGTCAAACAAATGACCCTTCCTAAGTCCCGCCCCTTTTTGCTCTGTGCTCCAATAACAGTTGAGACTCAGTCAACTTCCTGCTTTCCTGTACTTAGATATGCTACATGCTAGGCTAATCTACGTTGAAGAGACAACCACATTTTGAAGATGGTTAAAAGATAAAAGAGACAAATATATATATATATAGTCACATCTTAAGTTAGCTAATGTTAGTAAAACACTAACTAACTTGCTCAACACCAATTGTTGACTGAGGTTCCAAAAGGGGCGGGGCTTAGCGTGGGTCAATCTCTATAATTGGTAACGCCTGTGTTTACCCGACTATAGTATGACAAAATGGCTGCTGTGAAAACGTTTTTTTACAATGAGGCCCGATTAATAAATGATTTTAAATGGAATATCTGTGTTTGGTCTTTCCAGGTTTTCTGTGGCGTCCGCAGATGAGCTGGCAGCCAATAACGACGACTGTGCGATCTGCTGGGATGTGATGAGTTCGGCTCGGAAACTGCCCTGTGGTCACCTCTTCCACAGGTACGGGGGTTGGGGGGGGCAGAAGACAACTGTGTGTAATGTGGTAATTACAGTTAGAGCTAAATGCACTTGAGAAACATAATAATAAAGAGTTAGACTAATGAATAAATGAACGCCTAAGAGAAACCCAATTATGAGATGAAATAACGGAACAATAAATGTGACTTGGGAATCATTACAGTAATGAGATACAGTAAAGTAAATGAAGTAAATCAGTTTTCATGTCTGAGTTGTAACATTTAGTTAAAAGCTGAAATTTTAAAGGTTTAATATGCGAGATTCCGAAGAATTTTACGTATAAATTATTATTTATTATTTACGTTTTGGTTCATTGAACAGTTTATCAGCTGTTATTGTTGAATTTAATAGGAAATATCCATAAAATCATTCAGTTTACTCAGTGATAGGACGGTCGGGAACCAGCCGACTTTTAGGGTTCAGCTCCGTTAACGTCGTAAACCTTCTGCACTTTAACAAAGAAACATCTTAAAAGTGCAGTTTCCTCTCTCGTCAGGTCTCCAATCAGCCGCTCATCCAGGTGACTCCTCCCCCCAAGGACGAGGGCGGAGCGACAGGAGCTGCTGCAGCGAGCACGCAGGTCCCGAGACATCACAGATAATATTTAATATCAGCTTTTATTCTCTGCTGTCGTGGAGTCTCTGCTCCCACATACGGGAATTTACACCAAACCTTGAAAGCTCATAAATTGTCATCCAGAAATCTGGTTCCTCTGGTTCCTCTGGTTCCTCTGGTTCCTCTGGTTCCTCGGGCTCCTCCCGGTGCTCCACAAGAATCCACCGGGCCCGAATGAAAACAACCAATCAAGGGAAAGCCAGAGAAAGACAGTTTGACTGTTGAGGTCTCATTCTCAGTTTGGCAAATACAAATGAGACTCAACTATCCTCAAAGCTTCCGACCCAAAAAGTCTTTCTGCCATCTGGAGGTGAGTGGAGCGAGTGAGAACCAGAGGATGAGAAAGGATTTTATGGAGTTTGTAAATGATCTGAAGTTCCAGTCTGAGCTCAGCCAGTGTCCTCTGCTCTGATTAAAGGTTAAAATAACTCCGCTCTGCACCGACATGCATGTTTCCTGCTCTGCGCTGACCTTTCTTCCTCTGAGCCGCTGTAGGAGGTTTAAAATCTTGGTTTCCGTGGTTTTCGGCTGCTCGTTATCTGCGACCCTGATGAGCCTTTGAGCTGTGGCTCCATTAGTGAAACCACAGCGGGCTTTTTAACTGATGTAGCCCATTTACTACAAATCACCTGCACTTTACATCACCGCGGAGAGTTTCCAAGATTTATGTCTGTCCTCGCAGGCAGCTGCTCACATCAGAGTGACGGCCTGCAGGATCCATCACTCCTGCTCGGCTTTATCTGTAACATTACTGCAAGTTTTCACTTCACTTTTATGTCTACCTTTTTAAAATCTACACCCCAAAATCCATTTTTATAGATCTGCTCTCCTCCTCCTCCTCTCATTTGCTTTTTATTTTACTCACACTGTCGTCTCATTTTACTGCTTCATCTCTCGATATTTGTCACAATATTACTGTTTTATGGTCGTCTATAAGCTGAAAATGTATTTATCTCCTTTCTCTTAAAAGCACCCCTCACTTCTTTCTTAAAAAGTGCTGTTGGAATTGAATTGTTATATTTCTATTATTAGTTTAAAGGAATTTAACACAGCAATAAACCAGTCCATCATTTAATATGTTTCAGGACAAACTGATGGTAACAAAATGTGACAAAAACAAAACTGCAACATTATGGACCAGAAAACACAAGTAACTACAAACAGCTGTAATGTCCCTCAACACCAGACTCCATAGACAGAAACAATCATTTTACCTCACAAATAAAAGTGGAAGAAAACCAAATAAAACTCATTAAAGCGTCTC